TATATATATATATATATATATGTATGTGTAAAACTTACTACTTGTCCTACTATTCCTACTTCACGGTTTTTCACTTATCGCGGGGCTTCAGGGTACGGGTCCCCGCGATAAACGAGGGATTAATGTATTAATTTTAGGGGGATTTTTTTTAATATTCAAAAATAGAAAAAGTCCAAAAAGTCCTTAAGTCCAAAACAAACTTTGTGACATTTCACGAAGAACTGTGCCTCCCACCCCCCAAATGACGGAAATCCATAGCGGGGACGGACTTTCAAACTGCAACTAAAATCATCACACTGAAAAGCAGAAATGTTTAGATACAAACCTAATCTGTGAAGTAGAACTTTTGGGTTGAAAACAGCATCTTGGGTTTTCTTGTTTTGGAGTTTGTCCTTTAACGACATCGTTCCTCTTTATAATCTGCGACTGTTGTTTCTAGAAACTCCAACATTTCTTCAGCAGCCACTTCCTCTCGTTCTCTCTCCTCATCTCTGTTAGCTAAAGTTCCTTTAAAATAATAGATAACGAACCGGTACAGATGAACCGAATTCAAGAAGATGAAATTTCTTCAAATGTTACAGCAAATTAACCCGTCCTTTAAAAGTACACCACAACACCTCACCTTTTTTTAAATTTTTTTTTAATCTTCGTTAGTGTAAAAGAGGTACTTCCGGTGACTCTTCTTCTGGCGTTTTTCAGCTGTGCAGTTGTATTATTTACTCCACAGCGACGCTAACTGTTTAAGAGTAGAACTGGAATAAGAGCAGCATGTCAGAAAGACTAAACGTGAGGTCTGTATGCGCAAAACTTACAAGGTAAAACAGATACAAAGTGAATAATAATAAAAAAGATACAAAGTGAATTAAAAACTGTAAGTGACGTGGCCTGTCTAATGTTGAGTGGCCGATTGTTCCAAAGTTTATGGCCGGCTGCAACTGAAAAAGCCTGATCTCTGGTTTTTGGTGCTACCAAAAGCAGCTGATCAGATGACCTCAGCACCCAAGGAGCATATGGTTAAAGCAAGTCAGAGCTGACAGTGCAACGCCATTTATGCATTTAAAGGTCAACAGGAGAATTTTAAAATCTATTCTGATACGTACAACCAAAAAATAATTGACAACCTCCTTCCTATAATGTTATTGAACAATTACAAAATTCTCACCTATAGGCAAATAGATTAAAAAGTGGTATTACTGATATTATTTCAGACACACAATGAGGCTTTATTCAAGGATGCTCGATACACAACAATATAAGACACATATTTGATGTACTTAATTACATCCACCCAATAGAAGATATGGTTTTATCCTTTTCTTTGACTTCTTTAAAGCCTTTGACATGATTGAACACCACTTGATCTTTCAGACCTTCGACCTTTGTGGATTTGGCAAACTTTTTTTAAAATATCCATCCATCCATCCATTATCTTTTGCCCGTTTCTTCCTTTTCAGGTCACGGGGGTCACTGGTGCCCATATCCAGCTATCACTGTGCGAGAGGCAAGGTTAAATTAATTTATAAGGATCCTAACAGTTCAGATTTGCTACCACAAGGTACACTCCCAAGCTTTTCAATAGATAAGGGCATGGGTGTCCTATCTCACCTCTACTATTCATTGCAGCAGCAGAGCTGCTCTCTATTCTCTTCAAACAAAGAAATTTTTAAAATCTAATATTAGTAAACCATTATCAATCAGCCAGCTGGCTGATGACACAGCAATATTTTTGAGTGATTCAATAGATTTTTTTTCTCTAAAGCGTCTGGACTCAAATTAAATCGCAATAAATGAAATGAACTATTTATTCAATTCAATCAATCAGTTAGTTACAATATTCCGGTCAAAACCACAGTCAAATACGTAGGCATACGTGGACCCATGGAGAAAAGCAAAACTCATCTTAACTCTTAGGTCGTTTTCACACCAGATAGTCCGGTAGACTCGGTTCGGTTTGTGACCAATATTCATGACCTTTTGTTTACATTTGAGCTGGTGCGTTTGCATTCACAATGCACTGCGCAGTCGAGTCAACCTGTTGACCCAACCTGTTCCCCCGCTCGCCTGTGGGGGCGCTGCACCAAGAACTACTGAAAGAAACAACACAAAAACCTCTGACGACACTTCTTCTTCTTCTTTTGTAAATATAAACAAAAACGAAGTGGCATCAAGTTTTTGCAGTTTTAGGAGTTATATTTTGTCATTTTCCAAAAATGGACTTAGCATGAGCAGAAGATGAGACAGAAGACCATGGAGAATATTGTTTTTCCACACAAGGCAGCTGACGGCTCCATATAAGGTCAGAGAAATGCGTGTTTCTTTGTCCTGCGGAGCGGGGCCCGGTCTGTTTGCATTCACACTGTACTCGAACCGCGCTGGAGTTCGCTTCTACCGGACCGAGACCTAGGTTTTAGCCCGGGCCAGAGTTCGCCTTTTTGTTCTGTGACAGAGTTCGATGGCACGTTCACACCTCCCTAAACGAACCGGACTTTCTAGGAAAACGAGCTGGAGTTCGATTAAAGTGGACTAAACAGGGCTGGTGTGAATGCACCCTAATCTGAGACAGGTTATATGATGTGATGTTTGCCCCCAATTAAAATGAAGTGAATATATATATATATATATATATATATATATATATATATATATATATACATATTAGGGATGATGCGCAATATTATCGGCATGGTATCGGCCGATATTAGATCGGCCATTCCATCAAAATAACTCACCGATATAAAAGACAGTGTTTTTGCATGATAACCCAGTGACAAGGATGCCTGCAGCGCCAGCACAACGTGATGACGTCACATGTGCCTACCTGATCTGATCACGGCAGAAAGGAAGAAGTCAAAATGTCAGCGGTGTGGTAAAGTTTGCAATTTACATGTCCTTTGGAATGTGTTTTTGTTTTTAGTCACCGAAAGTTTATTTGCATGTGGACGGGTAGTTCAAATGCAGCAGAAAAACTCAGTTTTAAAATTTTACAGAGTCTTGTACAATAGATGGCACAAGTGATTTAAAATGTAGATGTCAAATGAATGTTTGATACATTTGATCTAAAAGTGACTTTTAACCAAATCATATGATTTGTTGTACAATTCTACAGCATATATATCAATCAATCAATCAATCAATCAATTTTATTTATAAAGCACCCTTCATACTAAAAGCAGCTCAAAGTGCTGTGCAGAATTATAAACAATAAACCCACAAAATAAAAGCAAACAACACACACACACAAAATAAAATAAAATAAAATTGTATGGAAAATGTATAGACTGAACAGAAATGAACCAGTTCAGGAAATGCAGTTAAAAAGATGGGTCTTGAGCCTGCTCTTAAAAACAACAACATTCTCTGCGGCCCTCAGATTCTCTGGCAGACTATTCCATAGACGGGGGCCATAGTACTGGAAAGAAGCCTCACCGTAAGTGTGAGTTCTGACTATTGTAACTGTTAGTAGTCCAGTGCAAGAGGACCTTAAGTGTCCGCGGGGGTTCACAGGGTAATAGCAGCTCTGCAAGATAAGATGGTGCGAGACCATTGAGACATTTAAAAACCATTAAAAGAATCTTAAAATCAACCCTGAGGTGCACAGGGAGCCAATGCAATGATTTTAAAACAGGTGTAATATGAGCCTGCCTTCTGGTCTTGGTTAGCACACGAGCAGCAGAGTTTTGTAACAGCTGAAAGCTGGATACATTTTTCTTAGGGAGACCAGAAAGCAGTGCATTACAGTAGTCTAAACGGCTAGAAATAAAAGCGTGCATCAAAGTCTCAGTATTAGAGAAAGAGAGAAGAGGGCGGACTCTGGCAATATTTTTTAGATGGTAAAATCCTGTTTTGACTATATGTTTGATATGTGGAATAAAAGTAAGCTCTGAGTCAAAAAGAACCCCCAGGCTTCTTACTTTTTTGGAAGGTTTTAAAGACAGAGATTGTAATTTCTGAATTGTATTTTCTTTTTGAACCTCCGGTCTAATGATTAAAACTTCTGTTTTGTCCTGGTTTAGCTGGAGAAAGGTCTGTGCCAACCAGGACTTTATGTCTGAAATGCAATTAAAAAGTGCAGTGATTGGCTGGGGGTCATCATGAGATAATGAGATGTATAGCTGTGTGTCATCAACATAACTGTGGAAACTTATCCCATGGCTCCTGATGACTCCACCAAGTGGCAACATGTACAAATTAAAAAGTAGGGGGCCTAAAATAGAGCCTTGGGGGACGCCATAGTTGGCTTCATGGATCTACGAGGTGCATGTATCTGTACTTACCATAAAGGTTCTATCTGTGAGATAGGAGCTGAACCACAGAAGAACAGTACCAGAAAGACTGACCAGGTGTTGTAATCTATTTAAAAGAATTTGATGATCTACTGTGTCAAAGGCTGCACTCAGATCCAATAGAACAAGAACTGAGAGCTTGTGTGAATCCAGATTACACATTAAATCATTCACAATTTTTAATAGGGCTGTCTCTGTACTGTGGTTCATCCTAAAACCAGATTGATACTTTTCTAAAATACCAGCATAATTTAAAAATTATTTAATTGAATAAAAACAAGCTTTTCTTAGATTTTACTTAAGAATGATAAGTTGGATACAGGTCTGTAATTATTAAAAACACTAGGATCTAGATTACTTTTCTTCAGAAGGGGCTTCACCACAGCCATTTTAAAGGCAACGGGGAAGACACCCATCTGAAGAGAGCAGTTTACAATGTTTAAAATTTCATTTTCAAAGAATCTATAAAATGAAGGAAAAAGTGATGAGGGAATTGGGTCTAAGAGGCAGGTGGTTGGTTTGACTTGTGAGAAAACTCTGCCGAGCATCTCTGCATCAACCACAGCAAACTCGTCTAGTGTTTGCTCAGGTAAAAACAAGTATTCAATAGATTTCAAACCAGTATTTTGATCAAATTAAATGTTAGATCTAATTTACTCTATCTTACCTCTAAAGTGTTTTGCAAACTGCTCACAAAGAGAGTTAGTTGGAGTATTTGAAGAAGCAGTAAAGTCAGGGTTAATCAGATTATCAATGGTGGAAAACAAAACTTTGGGATTATTTTTGTGATTGTTAATTATTTTGGCAAAATATGCATTTCTTGAATTTCTGACAGCAGAATTGTAGATATTAAGCTGTTCACGCAATATTTGGCAGTCGATTGTCAATTTGTTTTTCCTCCATTTCCTCCCTGATTTCCTGCAATTTCTTTTGAGTTTCTTTATGTCTTCCGTTTTCCATGGGCATACTCGTTTAATAAAAACTTGTTTTGAAAATAGTGGAGCTACATGATCCAGGTTTGTTTTTAGTTTGTTAAAAAAATTGACTGACCATTGAATCACAGGAAGCAGTTAAAATAACAGGGGAATTTTGTTTAAAATCTCTAATAAAATTATCAATCAACTCAGGGGTAAGATGGCGCCTCCTGACAGTTCGGACCGTGGCTTTCCGCTGAATCAAATCAGTGACATAAAAAACACACAGTAGTGGTCAGACACAGCCTGGTCAACAACAGAGGACACACCAGAGGCCAAGCCATAGGTAATAACAAGGTCAAGGGTGTGTCCCCTGTTGTGAGTCGGCTGCTTGACGTGCTGAATAAAATCCATACAGTTTAGAGTTTCTAAAAACTGTTCAGACAAAGAATCTGATGGATTATCAACATGTAGATTAAAATCACCAGTCACAATAATCTTATTATACTTAGCATGAATAAAACATAAAAACTCTGAAAACGCAGTCATAAAATCAAAAACATGTCTGGGTGGTCTGTAAACAGTAACACAAAATATTGGCAGCTGCTAAAAACAAAGGCATGATGCTCAAAATACGGGTACTGGTCAAATGAAATCTCTTTAACAGCCAGTAAATTATTAGATATTGAAGCAGTGCCACCTCCTTTTCTGCCACTTGGAGCATTAAAAGAAAATTTAAAATATAAACAAACAACCCTGTGATTAAAAGTAAGGAGTGTCATATTTTGCTGTAAATACATCATACTTTATTTAAACACTGTAATCGCCATCACACAATGAACAGAGGAACCAGAAGGTTCAGGTTAACAAAGCAGGGGCAGTAAAAGAAACACATACACACAACCCTGTAGCGCTAATTGTAGCCTGCAGTGGTTTTATACCCTGACATTTGATTATCTTAATAACAGTTTTAAAATTTTTATTGTTTTGTTTTTCTATGTGGGTTCTCAATGTGAGACATGTAAACATTCAGTTTGAAGATTGTATGTTGGTCCAGATGTACAACAGGTGCAACATTAGTTAAAATCAAACTTAAAGAGAAAGAATCACACAAGATAATCTTCTAAATCAAAATTTGGGTCTTTGTTATTGTAAATTGTTATGGTTTGAATGTACAAAAAATAAGTTAAAATAGACATATTGAATATACCTAACAAAAAAAAAACATTAAAGACTTTTTTCCACTGGTTTAAAGCAGGCTAACTGAATCTCAAAGCCAACAATTTCTTGTTAGTAATTAGTGCTGGATCACCTCTGTATTGAGGCACCCGTGTTCAAATTAAAAAAAAAAATTATGGCACCCAACGTGGGGCTAGAAAACAGTGTTTAGCACAGATGAACAAATTAATTAATTTACACATTTGTCTTTTTAAATTTAGCTCTTTAAAGTTTGGGCTACATGACAGTGAGCATAGAAAGATGTGATCAGAAAATGCACAATGCTGGTTGGTTTTCTCATTCAGCCTGAAACTACTCTCTGCAGCAAGGATCTCTGTTACATGCAGGAGTGTTTTTCATGCTGGGATCAGGCTTTGCCTCACACATGCACGCTATATATAATAAAGACAGGACACGTTTCGGCCACAGGGTGCTCCAGAATCCTCGTACCGTTAACTCAGTTTGGAATTCACCGTGAGTCGACCCTGACATGGCCAAGGCAAGAGGGCATTCGGCTGCTCCACGTATAACAAGTGCTGCATATTCTCTATATGACACAGAGTAGTAAAAAAACACTGGATACTGAATATCTGATACATTTAGAACAGGGCTTGCTGATACCAAAGCTACCAAATATCAGCAAAACTTTGTAAATTATATATATATATATATATATATATATATATATATATATATATATATATATATATATATATTGTTTTAGGTCTAATCAAAACATAGAAAGGTTCAAACTGTCTAAGGTAGTAAAAGCACATTCAATTTGTGGTATAAAATCTGCAAGTAACTTATCCTTTTGAATCGTATTTACATAAAAAAAACAAATATTTGAGACATCTCTGAACAAAAAGTTTCAATAAAACATAAAACAAGAACAAAACTTTTTTCTTCTTCTTCAGAATCAACATGGAACACATATATTGACATAATTCATATTGTGATACTAAACTTTACAATGATACCAGACTGCATCCTAAACTCTACAGCTCATACAGAGTCAGAAAACAAGCATGCAACAGAGATCTGCTTTGTGCATATGAAAATAGTCTCTTAATACTTCAAAACACCATCTGGTGTTCATTCACACTTTTCTGACTTCTTCCCTGCAGGAAACATCTGCACACACTGAAAAAACCCGAGCAGCCTGCAACAGCAACACAGCTTGCATCTGCTTCTTCATTATGACTTGGTTATACCGTAGTTACACGAAACAACAAATACAAACAAAACAAGTTTAAGGGTGTTTAGTGCTTTAACACCATCAAGAAGGGCCAGAAGGAAAAAACATTGCAGGGACATTAAAAACTGCAGTAGAAATGCATTTTTTCATCGCAACGTTGGCACTCATAACAACATATCACCTTTGTTTAAGTATAGAAACATACAGGTGTAAAGCACAGAAAAATATTCATTCTTTTTGTGCATTGCAGCTTGTTGCAAGACGAGGAACAAACCTGGGATTACATTGTTTAACACCAAAAGAGCTAGTAACCAATACTGAGACATATTCTTTCACAAGATAGCCACTGTAGATTTGTAGGAAGCTACAGGTGTGTTTGGAAATACAGATTCAGACTATGAAACAACGTGAGATTCTGTGAATATCAGTGCTGTGTTCTGTTGTGTTTCCCCATCGCAACATTCTTAACCTTTTTTCTTCTTTCTGCTCTGTTGTTTCTGTGCACAAGAATTGGTTAAGTGTTAAGACACAAAAGCTAGAGGAATACAGAAGTCTCTTGACAGCAGGATGTTTGCTAGATTCTCTCGCTGTTTCCTTACTCATACCACGCTGTGCAAGGACGGATGGGAGAACTGAGGGTTGATGTAGGAAAAGCCGGCAAACTCGCTCTGATCGATGTTGGCAATGACTAGCTGGTCCGGAGGGGTCAACACGGGCTGGGTGCGCGTGAAAAACTTGTCAAAGTTTTCTGCTCCTTTTCCACACTGAAAGAGATGAGAAGGATGTTAGACAGAGGAGGTTATTTTGATGTGTTATCACAAGTTTGTGGGCTTGTGATGAAAGGCTTTTCCATTTTTAGAAAGCTTGAGAACAGTTTCAGAAGGGGCGTAGAAAAATGTCAATGGTTAGCCAGGCAGAAGCTGTAATTAGATCAGAAGTGAACTTTGACATTTCCTCACAGAAAGTACCCATTGTGGAACATATCACTGCCACTGAATCCGCCATCAGGAACAACAACTGGACTGAAACAGAGGCAGAACAGCTCAGGATGAAGATAACAGCAACCCTCTCTAGTGTCAAGCCACCTTCTTGAAATCTCACATGAGAAAGAAAGGCGGTAACATCAATTAGCCTGGACCAAAGCATTGCCACTCACCAGCTGACAAAGGTAGATGCACAGCTGTCCTCAACATTCTAATTACCAGGCCAAAATATCAACACTACCGAGTAACAATACTACATATGAAATCTTGAAGTGGGACCCAACCAGCCCATACGTATATTAATTTTACCACAGATTGTATCCAGGGGAAGCCATTCCATACTTATATGACTACCCAAAACCCACAAAATAGAAACACCACTCAGACCCATTGTCAGCAGCATAAACTCAGTGACATTGCAAAACATCTTGCTGGTATTTAAGCTCCTCTTGTTGAAAACACACCACATCACACAGAGAGCTCCATGGACTTTAGAAACAAAATTAAAAATCTTTTGATGTCACTTCACTTTTCACTTGTATACCCACACCAGTGGCAATAGAAACCACCAGGAAACATCTTCAATAAGGTATTGACCTTAACAACAGGACCAGTCTCACACCATACCAGATCTGTACCCTGCTGGACCTTTGTCTTTCCACAACTTATTTCAAGTTCAGTAATAGCCTTTACAGATAGAAGCATGGTTGTGCCATAGGATCTCCAGTGTCACAGACTGTGGCCATTCTCTACACGGAAGACATGGAACAGGGAGCCCTGGATTCATTTAAGGGGACAGCATCGAGACACTGTTTCAGATATGTAGATGACAGGCCATCTTATCTTAAATCGCTTGGAAGTTTTGTAAATCTGATGCTCTGCCCCTCCCTCCCATCCTACTGAGGAATTCCATGGACTTTTCAGAGGAGCCCAGTTGAATAAACATTCTGTCATCATTTTAGGACTCTTTGGATTCATCCTTGGTCATCCTTGATACCCCCCCCCACCCCTCGAGTGTGTCTCTCCAGAGAAAACTATTTGAACTGAGTGATTTTATCTGAACTCTGCAGTGCCTCTGCATGTTGTCTCTGGACATGCTCACCTCCGTTTTTCGCGCCCCCCCCCCCCCCCCCCGATTATCGGTGTCATTATGTGCTCATGTGCAAGATTTTGTTTTTCATTATCATGCTGTTAACCTTCAACCAAAGATTAAGAGCATGTTAGGAATTTTTTGGTCTCCAAACCCTATGTGTTATTTTTCACCACTTTTTATTGTCTGTCCAAACAGGTCTTACTTGGAAATGAGTCTTCGAGGCTCAATGTGATTTATCTGTTTAAATAAAGGTTGAATGAATGAATGGTGCATACGCTATGCAAGGCAGCATTTATTCTTGTGTGCAAATAAAATGAAACCCTGCTCTTGCAAAGCTATTTTTATCCCTTGGTGACAACGTTTCAGGCAATTTGGGCACAGAGGGGATGAAGGATGCAGAGGTCACCAAACAGAAAAGAAGCGTTTGTGGCGACAGGAGGAGATTTATATATTTTGGGAGTGGGCATGTCTGCAGACATCTGCAGCTGGGATTCATCCTTCGGCTCTGCTGAGTGCAGAAAAAACATTACACTCGCTGGAGATGAGTGTGAACTCAAACATTCATGGCTATTCATGCGTCCACTCCTGGGAACTCTAAGGAGTTCTTTGAATTATTCAGCAAGGATATAAAATGATACAAAACACATTTTATACATACCTGAAAAACCCAAACAGAAATGTGAAAAGAAGAAAACACAAAGGTAGACACATTATTCTAACATTTAATAGTTCTTTCTGCTGAGATATAACAAAGTTTCAAGTTCCCCCAAAATTTTACATTTCTGACCTTAAACTTTTTGTTTAAAAGGGCCGGATGATGCACGCTTGCTATATTTAGAAATATTCCTACCTCTTGGGCCAAATCCAGGTATCTTTGGACTTGTTTAAGCAGCTGCATAGCACTTTGAAATTATTAGTAATTCATTCCATAAAATGGCAAACACTTATACGAAGATTGTAAAATGTTTTCACACAGCTGATTCTTCAGCTTGTAATGCAATAAAAAAGCTCCTAAAAGCAGCTGCAGACATGAACCTACGGTCTAAGAGGACTATGAAGGTTCTGCAGTTAAAGGATAGTTAGACAGAAATCAGAGAGAAATATTAGTCATGATGACCAAAGACATGTTTGGAAAAAAAACTGAATCTTATTGAAATTACATATTTATTTCATAGGTGAAGCATGGAGGTGGTTCAATCATGGTTTGGTTTTGTGAAAAAGCCTCATTAGGTGTTGGTAGGATTCAATTACAGTACAAAAAAAGCTAAAAAAAAAAACAAACAAACAAAAAAACTGAGGATGACCATTTTATAGACAGCACAAAACCCACGTATCATCTCAAGTGGAGGAGTTGGATCTCAAAATGTCAGTGAAGACTAAACAAAAAGTCACAGGAAGAAAATCCTTATTTTGAGAATAAAGGGGAGAAGTCTTTTAGCTGCTGTTCAGAGTGATTCTTACCAAAGGGCAGGTTATTACGAACAGACTGACATTTCCACGTTTGACTCACCACTTTGGGTTTAAACGGGGGCTGGATCTCTCGGTTGGCCAGACGCTCCCAGTCGATGCGTCTGAAGAAGGCCTGCTCTCTGATGTCCCGCTCTCCCTCAGGGTTGCAGCCGAGACGCTTAGACGGGTGCTTCGTCATCAGCTGAAGCCAAACAAAAAAAGAGAAACAAATGTGACACGGTTTGGTATTTTAAAAATAAGAGATGGGTAAAGCTGAGGTAGATGACATGGAATGACTCGATTGATTTCTACTTTATTTTGTCTTTCTTGTTTTTTTTAAATCAAACTTCTAAATACTTTGTTCTATTTTACCCATTCATATACTAAACATTTGGCTGGATCTGGAACAGTGTGCAAGGACTTTAAGTATTTGTGTCTTTTAAACTTTTTACAAATACTTTATAGAAATACATTCAAATCTCTTCAATTCCTTCAAAAGTACATTTCTTTTGGTCTTTTTATGCTCCATTTGGCTTTGTGGGGCAGCTGTGGCTGAGTGGTTAGAGCAATCGTCCTCCAATGGGAGAGTTGGGGGTTCGATTCCACCAGCAGTCACATGCTGAAGTGTCCCTGGGCAAGACACTGAAGCCCTCATTGCCTCTGATGTGTGTCCCATCGGTGTATGAATGTGATAAAGCGCTGATCTTTGTATAGATCTAGTAGAGCGCTGTATGAATGGGTAAATGAGGACACAGATTGTAGTGTAAAGCATTTTGAATATCTTGATAAGATAGAAAAGCACTATATAAGTACAGTCCAGTTACCATTTTAGCTACATTTTCGCTCCATTAAGCTTTAAGCTACTGTTTTGCACATTTTAGCTTTTAGCTATGGTTTGGCAAATTTAGCTTCTGTTCTTCATGTTTTAATTTTCACAGTTCAGTAAAACAATTAATGATTTTACACATTTCTTTAGTCATCCAGCACTTAGTATTCACACAGGATTTTTGTTGTTGTTGCAGAAAACACACATTTCTGAGGTTAATTTAGCTCATTTCTTGAATTAAAACATTTTTCCAGCAACTTTGTGCACAGAGTAAATGACCTCCAAACACTATTTGAAATATCCCTTTCCAATTCAATAATCTCTCTCTCTTCAAGCCATTCTTTGTGAATAAAAAGTGAAACAAACAATAACATGAGTGTAATCTCTGAATTATATTTTGTGTGGCAGGAAGCCAGCCTCGGACGTCAGGGCAGTTAATAAAAGTTTGCATCAGACTGAGCCTGAATCTTAATATAACCTTCTCTCCAGTTTGAAAATTGGCTCTGAAGGCTCATTTCCTTGTCTGTTAATAATCATAATCATGAAAATCACGACAGCGCTTCACTGTGATGGTGAACAGAACAGTGGTGTCAGATGTGAGATGAACATGTGATCGCTAAATTGAGAGCTGTTTTACGAAAGCAACAAAAACTTCCAGAGTAAAGAAAGAGAAAATAAAAAGATTTTCTGCAGCTAAATGTAAAAGTTTTGGACTGTCAAGATACAATTTAGGGCTGCACATTATAATTATTACTCGCTGCTGAAAGGGGAAAGGTGGGCGATAATGCTTTTGCCGAAAATGGACGAACATACACAATATCAACTTAACATTTTCAGGTGAACTTTTTAGTCCGTAAAAACAGACTGCACATCTTGGCACTCTGATGAGTCAAGCATAAGGATAACTACACTTTTTGACTTTTTCTATCAAATTTAGCAGAAGTTTAGGACACAGAATACAGATCTCAAGAACAAACTGTTTTATTTAAAGCTCGAGGAGGGCTGAGATGACGTCAAAATGATGTTCAATGCGAGACTGAGGAGAGCAGAAACAAAGAAAATAAATGAACGCTAAAAGTCTAAAGATTTAAAGATAAAAGTCTTCAGTTAATCCAAAATGCTGCTGCCAGAGTCTTAACTGGAGTCACTGGGAGAAATCATATCTCTCCAGTTTTAGCTTCTCTCCATTGATTCCCTGTCAAATCCAGAATTAAATTCAAAATCTTACTTCTGACCTACAAAGCCCTCAACAACCTAGCTCCATCTTATATTCAAGATCTTGTTCCATATTTTTCTAACAGAGCACCTCACTCTCAGACTGCAGGCTTACTTGTGGTTCCTAGAGTTTCCAAAAACAGAATGGGACGAAGATCTTTCAGTTATCAAGCTCCTCTCTTGTGGAACCAACTTCCAGTTTCTGTCCATAAGACTGACACATTGTCCAGTTCTAACACTGGGCTTAAGACTTTCTTTGATTAATCCTATAGTTAGGGTTGGCTTATTATGCTGACGTAAGCTTAGACTACTGGAAGACAAATTGACCTCATTTCCTTAAATGAATTGTTAAAATTGAATAGTTTTCATTTGATACTATTTCTATATTAACGTGATTCTTGACCTGCCATTGTGTATCTGTTCCTACCAAACCCAGCCGGTCGAAGCAGATGGCCGCTTGTCCTGAGCCTGGTTCTACTAAAGGTTTCTTCTTCATGAGGTAGTTTTTCTTTCCACTGTCGCCTTCATGTTTGCTCAAGATGAGAGTTCTGTGATGAAGTTAAATTCAAAGCAGCCTTCTCTGCAGATAAATAATGTTATCTTGTTATTTTTATAGGAATGTTTCTGTTCAGTGCCCTGAGACGACTTCTGTTGTGACTTGGCACTATATAAATAAACTGAACTGAATTGAATTGAACACTAACGAGGGAGAATGACAAAACAACTGGGGAGAAACAACAAGGATCAGGTGGAGTGGGCGGGGCTAGATCATTAAAAACTGACTGAGGAGAACCAAACTGATGTCAGGTAAAACACAAAGAACCAAAGACATGGAGAAAATAAAACATAAACAGGGAAAATATGGATAACAACTCCAAAAAACAACAAATAGTAACTAAAATAAACACAGATCCCAAGAGTTTCTCTAAATAAAAATCAAGTTTTAGTTAAAGGTATAATGCAAAGATTTTCAAAGACTCATCAGTTGTGGGAACAAAAAAAGCCCATTTACATAATGGCAGCTTCCAGTCACTAAACGTTATGCGTCTGTAGTTTGGTTATTAAAGGTTCTCATTGGGAACTATGACATCAAATATAAAACAAGGTTATCCTGAACTTTATCAAATGGTGCCGTTTGAAAGAGTTTGTAAATTTTTTTGACCAGTTTTTACAACATTGAATTGATACCTTCGTGTTCTAACAATTACACAAATGTTCTTTTTCCAGCAAGAGATTATTTCAATAAAATGTTGGTTTGAACACCGACAGTTTCAAAGAATATCTGTATTTATCTCACACACGTATACCTTAAGTCCTGCTTAATAAACCTGGAACATATAATTTAAAGTTTTTTTCACTAAGAAAATGGAATAAAGACAGAGACGTCCTGCTTTACTGCTGCTTGAAACATTCGATTTGCAATCTGCCTGTCTGAGTTTAACAAAGTGCAAGAAGAATCGAGTCACGAATACTTAGTTCAGACATTTCCGAGTCTGCGTTTAATAAACGAAATACCTGAGATGAGACGGGAGAACCGGAGGTTATTTTTGTTTTCAGCAGAGAGTATGAATGTGTGTCTCCAGTGCTTGATGACCAGTGCTTAATTTGACCCAGGATCCAGGAACTCTCTTATTTTGACAAGGTGCGTTCCAGTAACTGTTTGCTTGGATCTGGCTATGATCTGATAACTCTCAGGCTTGCTAATAATAAAGTTATGAACAAATATGACCGCCTTGAACAAATAAAATTTATTTCAGATATGTAAACTGAAAACAATTACATAAACACTAATTTAAACACAACAGCCACTTGAGACTTCTTCATTACACACAAGCTGACCCTTCAAGTAAGTATTGTGGGGTTCAGGTTATAAGATATGCATACATATGGAGCTTGACAAATCTATCTAATTTATCTCAGCCTTATAACCTGAACCCTTCACTGTTCTTTGAATTGAAAAAGCTCCTCGGATGGGAAGCAAAACATCTTCTGTTACAAATAAAGTCCAGTTGTTTTTGTATTGAACGTGTTTGAATTTATCATGTCCTGGATGACTGAGAATCTTCACCTGCTTAACCCGTTAAAATGCAACAAAATGCAGGAAATTGCATCTACTTTATTCAAAATGTTCACAAAATGTGACAAAGCGCTTGTGTAGAAGTCAACTGATAAATTTTTTTATGACCAAGACTGATTTTTGAGACAAGAAACAGTTTTTATTTTTTGGGACAATAGGTATTTTTCCATTTAACAAAATTTAGCAATAATTACCCATCTTAAATAAATGTATTTTACCCTTAGATTAAAAATAAACTGTAAAAGAGTAGCCGCTCACTCTTGCAGGTCCGAACTAGTGAAAGCAGACAACACAGCCCTTTCTGCTGTGGGACGGTACCAGATCTGCTGTAAAATCACATTTCTGATGATGACACATTCAATGAAGACAATGGTTTCCTTCATTTTTACTGCTGGATTTGAACACCACTCACCCCCTTGCAGATGGACACAGCTTCTTTGGACATGGACTTGGGGTAGGACACATTGTGCTCCATGATGGACTGGAAGAGCTCATCCTCGTCCTCGCCATCGAACGGCGGCTGGAAAGGAGAAAAGCAGCATCCGAGACTTCAGACAGAAGTTTCAGCTTGTTATGGGAACAATTTCAACAGATGTGGAAACCAGATGTGTCAGACTTTCTGTTCCAACAATTAGAGAAAATGGTATTTGGAGATAAAGGTAAACATCAAATCATGCTATGACAGTTTAAGGGAGATTTTGTTGAACAATTATAATTAAATCTCACAAGTTTTGATAAGTTCAGATAAAAATCCAAGAATTAAAGATGAAAAAATAATAATTTAAGCTTGATCCTTACAAAGGCAGAGCTTGTTTTTCTGTAAGTTTTGAAATCCCACTTATAATTTGTTATAAATAATTTCATGTTTTATAACCCAAACTAGACTAGTATAAATAATTTGACTTTTAAATGTAATCACACACTTTAAGTGCTTTTCAGGATAAATGACTGACATTTTACGTCACACTTTTAAAAGTACTTTTACTCTTTCTCAGATAAAAAGTAACAAAAAAAAGTTTCTACAAAATAAAATGTGGCATGTGCTGTTTATTACGGCCTGGTTCGGCATTAGTGGCACAAATCAGCAACAATCTCTGCAATTTCAAAATTGTATATGGTGAAAGACAATTTTTTTCTTGTGGAAAAATATCCATCTGCAAAACATCTGACCTAAATTCTAAATAAAACAGAGAAAATTATCTGTAGAAATGTAAGTGGTTTCATCCTTATAATTTTATTGTTTTATTTTGGGTAGTTTTGGACAAAGTACATCAGGACAGATTGTACACTTATTAATACCAAGTAAAACCTATGTACTTCCACTCAAGTGAAACTTCTTTTACAATAGGTTTTTATTTGTAATAGTTTACATTTACATCAATGTACCACTAATTGAAGGAACTCTGTTTCCTTTAATAAAATATAACTTTGTGATGTTAATATAGCTGCAGAAGATGACAAAGTGTTCTGTTCATCACTCAACATTAATAATGCAAACCCTAGATAATGGATGTTTTTGAGAAATCTTGTTTTATCACACAAAAACCATTTGACACTGAAATATACTTTACTTACAAATATATAAAACAGAAACGAGGAGCAAATTCAATAACCGCGACTGTGAATGCAGCAAGGACTCACATAGTTCATAGGAATTTATTTTAACGGAACATTTTCGGGTTCTGTTGTCAAACTTGATATCTTAGATATTAAAAAAACAACTTTGTCAAACCTCATTAGGGTGAAACAACTCATTACCTGTCCTGCTAACATTTCATAGAGGAGAACTCCATAAGCCCACCAGTCCACTGATTTTCCATATGGCTGGTAAGCTATAATCTGAGAGAAAAGTTACAAAAAACAGGAATAAGTTACTGCATCTCATGACCTGTTTTGTTTCTGACATTATTGTTTGACTGCAGAAAGCTGCGAGGTCACAAACAACCTGAGAGGGCTTCAAGTCAAGACGTCAAAGAAAAATCAAACTAAAGCATTTTCCTCAGCTCAAACAACCTCCATTAAATACAATCAGCCATTTCCAGCTGACACTTCCCTCCCACACACACTACACACACACACACACACTCACACTTGCTGCACAACAGACATAATGCCAATCCAAAGAGCTAAAATCACAGCTGCGTTTCCTTTTAAGGCACGTGGGCAGCAGTTTAAACAGTGCATGCTCGTGAACTTGTTTCACAGCTTGATAAAACAAGATGTGACACTTTTTGTCTTTCAAAGGGTTTTATAAATAGAAAAAGCTGAAGCTTGGACTCAACAAAAACAGGAAATAGAGACATATCCTCTGTTGTTCGGGTTAGTTCAACCAGATCATCTAAAAATATCCTGGATGTGTTAAACCTGTTTCATTGAGCTCCTGGTGCTGGGGACAGGAGATCATGCTGTTGCTTCTTCAATACCGACTGTGATGACTTCAGCATACATTCAGCTATTTTAGCCATTCGAGTGTCAAAAATGTTTGGCTCGATCAGGACAGTCCAGCTCTGACTTTTGGTTTACACAATTTTTACAGCTTTTAAAATATTTAACTTAATTTTTATAGTGAAATTAAAATAGTACTCTTCAAATCCTTGTAAAAATGTGCTTTTCGGCATACAAGCTTCCTATTTTTAGCTTTTAGCTACTGTCTGGATCATTTTAGCTTTTAGGTACATCTAGTAAAGTTCAGTCATTGAGTCCTCTGGACAGCAGGTTCCTCCATGTTGAAACATTTTGTCTTTGTAGAAGCAGAAAAGACAAAACGTTTCAACATACATAGAGGAACCCGTGTAGAGGACCTGACTCAACTTTGTTAGATTTATCTACCTGGATTATTGAGCATGCATCAAGGTTTTTAGGTACAGTTTTGTTGATTGTAGTTTTTAGCTTACATTTTGCTAATTTTATGTTTTGACTATTATTTTGATGGTTTTAGAATTTAACTATTGGTTTGCTAGTTTTAACGTTTAGATTTTGCTTAGTTAAGTTTGACTTTTAGGCACATATATTCTGATTAGAACTATTCACAGATTCACAGATGTTTTGCCAATTCTAGTTTAGAACTACTGGTTTGGCAACTCTAGGTTTTAGCTTTTTAGGTTTGATTATTTTAGCATTTAGCTATTAATAGCATTTAGCTATTGGCTTTATTATTGTAGCATTTAGCTATTGGTTTGACTATTTAAGCATTTAGCTATTGGTTTGATTATTTTAGCATTTAGCTATTGGTTGAATTATTTTAGCATTTAGCTATTGGCTTGTTTATTTTAGCAATTAGCTATTGGTTTGATCTTTTTGGCCTTTAGCTATTGGTTTGATTATTTTTAGCATTTAGCTATTGGTTTGATTATTTTAGCATTTAGCTATTGGTTTGATTATTTTAGCATTTATCTATTGGTTTGATTATTTTAGCATTTAGCTATTGGTTTGCTGGTTTTAGGTTTTAGTTAATGTCCTGCTAATTTTTTTTTTCAGTCACTGTTTACTAATTTTAGTTTTAGCAACAGTAGCAACAGTTTTGTTAATTTTAGCTATGCTTCATTTGTTTTAACTTGACCTAATTCAATTTAAGCTTCTTTAACAAAACACAGCAGTCATCCAGCTCTCGGCATTCACACAGAGTTTTTGCAAGTACTCTATTTTTTCCTCTAGTTTTTGTTTTTCCTTTGCTGTAACAATTATATAAAAAACTCAAACAGTTTTAGATTATAATTTTGTGAAAAACAAGAAGAGAAACTACACAAAAGTCTACACCGAGTCATTAAAATGAAGGATGGATGTAATAAATGTAATAAAAAAGCTAAAGCATATTTTTCACTTTTTTCCTCTTGGTGTTTCATTTATTTTCTCCTCCTTAAACCTGGTCATACATAAAGTCTTTTCACGTTTTATTTGATCACAGTAAGAACGTTTTACCAAACATTCCTCCAATTCACTCTTACTTTGTTTTTTTGTGTTCCATGACTTCCACGTGTCACAGTTTTATGTTTTCTGTAAACCACCGAGGCTTCTTTAAAGCCCTGATCTCAAACATTCAAAAGTAAAACTTATTTGCTCAAGTTGTCACCAGATGGTGGGTCTTTATGTTTTAACTTTGCAGAAGAATGAGTGCTGTATTGTTCCTTTAAACATGCTGAGATACAAAACAATTTCTGGTTGCATACATACATACAGGGTCAACGGTGGGCCTCGTGAAGGTGGATCACTGAGACACGCTGAAAGATGGCTGCTTGATATCCAGGTGTCTCACCTCGGGTGCAATGTAGTCCGGGGTGCCGCAAAAAGTGCGTGTGGACATCCCCTCATACATGTTCTCCTTGCACATGCCAAAGTCTGCAATCTTGATGTGTCCCTCGCAGTCCAGCATCACGTTGTCCAACTTCAGATCCCTGCAGCACAGACAACTTTCAGAGCGTTCGTGTAGAAATATTTCTAAATGTTTTCCTGTAAGAGAACATCACGTCTCCGAGCTCTGAATTTACCTGTGGCTCACGTCATTTGATGAGTAATGTGTTATTTTTCTAGCTTTAGTCCTTTCTGCTCTTTCAGAGTTTAGCTTGCATCTTTGCTTGTGTCAACACCTTTATAGAATGCACTTTTTGCCCCAAAAAACAAAACAAAAACAAACAAACAACAACAAAAAAAGCCAAAAGAGCTGAAGTATTTTGTCTCATGTTTAACTTTAAACAATATGAATATTAAAGCAGCATCTGTTCACTTAAATTCCAACTGACCTAAAAGGTTAATTTTCTTTCTTTTACTCGTTACTTCTCCTTTAATTTCAGAATTTACTCATTTTTTCTGTTATCTTCTGATCTAGTCATCAAATATGAGCAAAAGCTTTATTAATCTGTGTGTGTGTTAAACTTACGCAAAGGTTGTTAAATTCAGTCATACTAAGTGCAGTAGCATGAGGCACAGTGTTAGAAAATAAACAACCCATAACCCACCTGTAGATGATTCCCTTCCGGTGCAAGAAGAACAAGCCAACAGCTATCTCTGCTGCATAAAACCTGCAACAAAGAAAATTAAACATCAGAGTCAGAGTCAGGGATTCTTTATTGTCATTCGCACCACATGTGGTACATGTGGTAGAAGGAAATTGTGTACACAGGGTACCAGTTACATCCAACAATAAAATGTAAAAGAAAAACAATGATGACATATAAGATATGAAGTAAGAAAAGTATCAACTAAAAATACACTAAGCACTAATATAAAAAGATTACGTCAAACAGCAGCACAAACATGAGCATGAGTCTGTGTGAGCAGATGAGCACACATGAACACATCAACATGAAACAGATCAGCAGCAACATGATGGGATTTTTCACAGTGATTATCCTGGTTAGAGATTCATGAGTCTAACAACCTCAGGGTAGAAGCTGTTCCTCAGTCTAGTGGTTCTACACTTAATGCTCCTCAACCTCCTTCCTGAGGCATTGCGGAGCAAAAAGTGTGTGTGCTGGGTGAGTGGGGTCCTTCATGATGCAGGTGGCCCTCTTCCTGCATCTGGAGGTGTAGATGTCTGTGATGGTGGGGAGGCTGACTCCAGCAGTCTTCTGTGCAGCCTTCATCACACTCTGCAAAGCTTTTCTCTCTGCAGCTGTGCAGCCTCCATGCCACACGTTGATGCTGGAGCACAGGATGCTCTCCACTGCACACCTGTAGAAGGAGGTGAGGACTGAGCTTCCCAGACCAGCTCGTCTCAGCCGTCTGAGGACGTAGAGTCTCTGATGAGCTTTCTTGATCAGGCTGGTGTTGTTGTCCCAGCTGAGGTTGTCATTTATGTGTACACCCAAGTACTTGTAGCTGGAGACAACTTCCACTGCAGATCATTTTATGGTCAGGGGGGTTTAGGTGTGTTTGTTCCTTCTGAAGTCCACATTCATCTCTGTTGTCTTCTTCACATTGATGTGAAGGTTATTCTCTTTGCACCAGCTCTCCAGGTGTTCCACCTCCTGCCTGTAGCTGGACTCACCATTGTTTGTAATGCATCCCACCACCACTGTATCATCTGCAACTTTACAATATGACAGCCTGGATGGGTAGCTGAACAATCATACGTGAACAGAGTAAACAGGAGAAGGCTCAACACACATCCCTGAGGAGAGCCAGTGTTGAGGGTTATGGTGGAGGAAGAGAAGTTGTGGATCCTCACTAACTGTTGTCTGTTTGTTAAGAAGTCTAGTACCCAGTTGCAAATGGAGGAGCTTAGTCCTAGTGTGAACTGTTTGTCCATCAGGGTTTGGGGGATCATGGTGTTTAAGGCAGATGTGAAGTCCACAAAGAGCATACGGATGTAAGAGTCTTTCTGCTCCAGGTGGTTGAGTGAAGTGTGGACCACAGAGGAGGTGGCATCCTCTGTTGATCGGTTCTCACGATATGCATACTGATTTGGGTCGTTGTTGAAAACATCTAGTTAAAGATGAATACAATACACTGCACACTCTTACTATACAGAAGTTCCTCGCTACTTCGCGGTTCGACTTTCGCAGAAGCGCTTTTTCGCGGATTTTCAAAGTAAGATTGAACACGAGAAAAAAAATTGTACACGACATACGATCGTCAACTTTAATATTACTCACGTGATTGGGACAGTACTGGATACTGTACAGTAAAAAGTTAATGAAAAATAAAATACTTCAGACAGGCACTGCCATTTTGTAGTTTTCTCTCAATAAGCCTACACTTTATCGTCACTCATAACAACTACATTTCCCAGAAGCCAACAGTGCCCCACCCAGAAGCCTCGTTGCCCTTTGCTGAAATACTAGAGGGAAAGTTTTGAATTGATTGGAAAAATTTGATGCTTATTCATACAGTGACTTTGGCGCCCAGCTGATAAACAGAGCTGCATGGAACCCACCGGGAACTGGACCAGAACTGGAGCAGAACTGGACCTCCAGACTCGTCAGTGAATCTGAGAGCTGCTATCTGGCCCACAAGGACTTTTGAGTCGCCGGACTCAAAAGTTGCCTGCGCTGGGGGAGGCACAGCCGTAGGTCTGGCGTTCTCTTTGGAGCTCTCTGGGACTTTTTTTCATCCAGATTTGAACTCAATCGGACCACTGTCTGGTCCCATGCTGGCCATCTGAAAGTCTGGTTCCCTCCAAAATACGTTTTGGTGCTCAAAGGCTGCACAGAACCGGACCAGAACTGGCAGGGTAGGTCTGCCAGACCGGAACCGAGCCGCTCTTTCTTCAGAGCAGTTCAAATTTTGTAGGTTTAAGAGTTTAGAACATTGTGGGCTTTGTCGCTGCAGGGTAGGTCTGCAGAAATAGAACCGAGTCGGACCCGAACCGAGGGGAACCAAGCCTCTGATGTTCTGCAGAGCAGGTGAGTAAAATTTAGTAGCTACATCAACATATGTTGTTAAAATTACAAAGTTTAAGAGCTTAGAACATTGCAAGAGTGTGGGAAGGATTTCTAAAGCCTTAATATATATATATATATAAATACTAGAATAACTATAACATCCCTAGTTCACAGATTTTCACTTATTGCGGGGGGGGGGGGGGGGTTTGGAAAAAAACCCCCGCAATAAACAAGGGACTACTGTAAACCAAAAAATAAAAGCAGAAGACAGGAACCAGTTCACTCAATGGATTATCGTGTCCAACACCATCTTCCTCCTTTTATTTGCTCTCATCTCTTTACTATTAGTCAAATCATATCTAGAAAAATATGTAAAAATGAACCACAGAAAAACAGTTTTTTTACATGTGCAAATGATTGTAGGTGGATCAGAGTGAGTCCTTACACCGCCTGAGGCTCCTTAAACTTGCCCATACGTTGGATATGATACATGAGGTCTCCCCCGTTAATGTACTCCATCACGAAGTAAAGCCGATCCTATAACAGAAGGAGGTTCTTGTTAGATGTACAGTTTGTGCAGACAGTAAGAAAAAGTTATTCCAGTTGGTAGATTGAGTGAAGAGGTAACATCCCTAATCTAGACTGCTGCTTTCTGTGTAGCATCGTCCTCGTGTTTCATCCTAGACAGCTTTAATCAGTAAAGCTTTTATTTAAGAGTTAATGACGCAGAGCCAACGTCACATTAGAGACTTTATATTCCACTCTGGTCCCAGCTCACCTTTCATTTTTCTCCGCAGGGGGGCGGAGGGCCAGAAAAATATAAAAGCATAATAACAGATACACTCACAGGAACTGAGCTGAAATAAGACAGAAGATTGTTGTGGGAGAACAACGGCTTCCTCAAGTAAAGATGTATTTGTTTTTTTCATCAAAGTGGGAGAAAACTTTATTAACTGCGACGTCAGCAGGAGCAGAGGTTTTTACTCACCACAGTCTGAAAACAGGACTGCAGCTGCGTGAGGAAGGGCGGTTTGTCTCTCAGGGCCAACACCCTCTTCTCCACCATCGTACATTCGACGTCGTCGTCCTGAATCACCACGTCTTTCTTCAGGATCTTTATGGCGTACAGCTCCTCTGTGGATTTCATCTCTGCCAGCATCACCTGTGTTGGAGCAGCATGGGTCAAAGGTCAAGATGAAACAAAATATTTGATTGAAACATTCAAACTGGTACAAAGTTTCAGCTCCCACCTTGCCGAAGCTGCCCTTCCCCAGAAGGGCGAGGAAGTTGAAGTCGTTGAGTCGGACTCGGTCCAGGTTACCTGAAGGGAAGCTGAAGCGCCGGTGGTCTGATGGCGTGATCACTTTCTTACCATGGCCCAGCTTGGCTTTCTGCCGTGTACAACACACACACGTAGATAAAAGCAGTTAAATTAAAGACTGCTGCATCAGCTGTGTCTTAAATCAGATACTAAAAGAGTGACATTCTGTTTCTGCTGCACCTTTTAGTGCTGCTTGATTTCTATCAGTGAGGAATGAATGAATGGTGCAGGCCGCATGCTTTTTAAGCCAAAGAACAATTCATTTTAAACAGTTTTTTCAGGTTGAAAAAACAACAACACTAAAACAACTCTAAAACCAGTTTATTGCACCATGCAGATCATTTGAAACACTCTCCTAAAACAATAAATAATAAAATTATTAGTTAAGTATGTTTCAAACTGAACATTTTTGTTAATCATTAACATTTTTACAGGGTTTGGCATGCTAGCAAATGCACTAAAATACAATCAACATACCCTTTATACGAACGTAAGGTGGTAAAAATTAGGCTGATGTTTTATTTTAACACCAAATTCATGTTTTTTTGGGTTTTTTTTTGGTCATGTTGTTTGCCGACATCTTTACAGACTTTTAGCAGCTTTGTAATTCTGGAAAAAGTGCCAGCTGGTTGTTCTGCAGGGGATCTCGGAGTTTTAAAGGTTCCCTTTTGTTAAAAAGATCTGTTTGCCAAACATAATTTAAAAAAAAGGGCAATTAGGGTCCCCACCAGCTCCCATTTGAGACTCCAGCTGTTGTCTGTTGAGTCAGACAGCATCGCCTGCGAGTTGCAGGACAATGAACGCCATTGCCACGGCAACCACTTCTCTCCTCCTGACTCATTGTGATACTCTCTATAATAAGTGCTGCATGTTTACTTGCTTCAGTGGGTCCTGCATGTAGAGCTGTTTCAGGTCAGTTCACACAAACCAGAAATAGATGTTCAGCGTGAAAAGATCCAAAGCAAATGAATAAAACAGAAAACTGAGTCTTTAACTGGTGTGGAGAACTAAAAAACAGTTTAAATCCATATAATTATTGATATTCTGTGAAAACTGAAACATTTGTTGCAAAACAAAATTATTTCAACATAGTAAGAACATGATCTGTCTGCAGCTTCTTGTTTTCACCTTACCTCAGGTCGACACCGAGTGGTCAGTTTAGGAATAAATTCATAAAACGTTACTGTGACTAACACAGACCAGACCAAATATTAATTTATAAAAATGAGTAAACTGCACATAAACGGTTGCCAAAACCAAAACGTGTGGTTTCATTTCAAACAATTTTTTTAAAATCACACTGACAGTCTTAAAATAAATATAACACTGCCATCATGTGGAAAGATCCAACACACACACACACACATCTGGTGTTTCCATCCACACAGCTTCTGAGTGGGTGTCCTTCATGCTTGTGTCCTCACAGCCTTTTATGGTCCAGGTGAGACTAGTAGAAGGCATGCGGTGTTACCCCAGTGAGGAGGTGAAGCTCTTCTGACCACTGATGAAGATGATGGCACCAAGCAGAGGCCAGAGAGCTCCACAAATTTACTAACAACAACGCAGTCTGGAGTTCGTGTACGTTTTCAGAAATGCTACGGATGGTAGCTGCTGTGCTTTTAGACCAATACTTACAGCAGCAAAGCTGTTCGATGAGCTTACAATGACCATAGTCGTGTTTCTTTAATATCTTTAGGACAAATGTTATTTGTTCTATTTTTCTTGGGGGAAAAAAATCTACAGAACCATTTGCACTTCAAAAGATTTATCACAGTCTTTCAAATCTGTCTGAAGCAATCCAATGGTGCTTTGAGGAACAAACATAAAACAGGATCACTCCAGGTTCAAAGTTCTTTATCGTCATTCACATCACATGTGGTACATGAGGTGGAAATTGTGTATCCAAGGTCCCAGTTACACCCAAAAATAGCAAAAATATGAAGTATAAAAATAAATAGTATGCAAGGATCTAAGATATACACTTTAAACACTAATAATGTAAAATAATCTGGTATATTAAACAGGAGCCTGAACATCATTTGGCTGAGGTAACGGTGCTATCTCACTGGGCTGCGACTGTTGGAGACTAGTTGAACGACATTCACGAGGGAGTCTCCAGAATATCCAAAGATTCGCGGCAGGGCTCAGTTTCCTCACTTGAGCTGCAGAGGCTTGAACTCTGAACTTGTTCAAATGCTTATGGGAATTGTTCATCTCTTAAAATAGTCATCAAGCAGGTGTCTCAAACCTGTAAATGGTAAATAGGCTGTACTTTGTAACTTGTTGACTTGTGTCAACACCTTGTTGATATTGCCTTTCTATCCAATCAAGACACTCAAAGCTGTTTACAACACAGTCTGTGCCCCCATTTACCTCCACACACACATTCATACAGCACTCTACTACATCTCTGCAAAGATTCATCAGTGCTTTATCACATTCATACACCAATGGGACACACATTGGAGGCAATGAGGGGTTCAGTGTCTTGCCCAGGGACACTTCAGCATGTGACTGCTGGTGGAATTGAACCCCCAACTCTCCCACTGGAGGACGACTGCTCTCACCAGTTAGCTACAGCTGCCTGTCTCAAGAGAGCTTAAAAAAAACTTGTTTCAAATCTGCCTAACCTCATTTCTTCAGTGCACTCTGGTAGATTAAACCATCAATTTGGGGACAGCTGCCAAGGTGGGTACAAAGTGGTCGAGGCAGGTATGATGTGGGTGGAGGTGGGCAACTAAACATTGTGCACGACCTACGATTCCGTGTTGCAATATGTACACGACAGTAACCTTTGATTTTTAAAACATGGCTGCACGGTTCACTCTCCACAAACAGGCAGAATTTAATGACACCGCCACAGACAATGTGTGTGTTTTCTTGCAACACCGAGTCAAATTTAAATCACCATCTAGTCCCCAACAGCCACCATCCATTGAGATAACACATTAGGCCACGAACTTAGATTTTTCCTTTTGTCAAATATCTAAAAATATTTTAAAGGAAATCAACTGAATATGTTTGAAAAACTACAGCCCCAGTTTTCCTTTTTGTGTAATAAAATCATCTGAAAGCTGCACATTTGTTAAGACAGATTTGAAAAACTGAACAACTTATTTAAAGGCAAACGAAAGGACTTCAAAATATTTGAGTTGCAGTAGATACTACTTGCAGCTTAAAAATCCCAAAAAGAATATGTTTGAATTGTGTTCTCACATAAGAAATTTGCTAATATATATATGCATGTATTTATTTTTAGTTATCATGTAGGTATAGTTCAGAAATAAGGCAAAAAAGCTAGTGTGTACATGTGTGAGAGGAGTCTGAGGTATAAAACAGAGATGCAAACTAGAAGGGCTTAACGGTACAAGGCCTTTGTTAGTAAATCAGATTAATTTGTGGAATCACAGCAGAGATCCACAAACAATCCTAATCCAGTGAGTAAAATGTGAAGCAGGCTGCACATGAGAGAGAAACAAAGGAAGCAGGCAGGAGAGCTACCTTCAGATAGTGGATATTTAACTGACAGGCCTAGAAGAAAGAAGAAACCCTCTTATTAGTGATCAGCTCAAAAAAAATGTGCAGAAACACAGAGTTATTACTTTCATCCCTTGTTGTGACTTTTTATCTGTGAACTCCACGGAGATCAAAGGCACGACTGCAGCGTGTAAAATCATTCACATCTGTTGCATCCCATCCTAGTTTCCATGGGAACCACAAGTTGTGCGAAGACAACAGCTTCAGGGGAAAGCCAAGGTCAGTGTTGTACAGTATGGAGAAAAGCAGGAAATTAAAGCCAAGACTCTTGAGAGGATGTTTACACTCAGTATGAAAACACAGAGCTGAAGTTTATTAAACTGATAAAACTCTGTTGTTTTTATTTATTTCCAATCCCAACCAATTTCACTTGGCAGCCATATTGTACCACAGTAATACCCAGTATAAATATTTTATTATGACTTATGTATGAAAAAGCTGCAGTCAACAAAGTGGCCACTAGAGGGCAACATTTGGTTGTAATACATTCAGGGATTCAAGGTTCTTTATTTGTCTTTTGAACCCCAAGTGGTACATGTGGTGGAATGAAATTATGTACACAGGGTCCCAGTTACATCCAACAATAAAATGTAAAAGAAAAGCAGTAATAAGATTTAAGATATGAACTAAGAAAAACATCAACTAAATATACACTAAGCACTAGTAGCAAAAAAACATTACGCCATTACATAAGCAATCAGCATGGCAGAATGATAAATGAGAAACAGTTATCATTCAAATATTAATGTTTTAAACATCACTGAGTGTATTTTCTGCCATGAACATCCTTAGATCTCAAATTTATCTGTTGGAAGCACCAAAAAAAAAAAAGTCCAAATGCTGAAGAACATCCAGCAAAATCGGTCAGATTAAAGAACAGGATAAAAGTTGCAAAAACAATGACAGATGGTTTTAATAGTATGAAAGGAAGAGAAAACTGGGGTTAAAAAAACACAAAACATAAAAAACAAATGAAATGTTATGACTGGGGATCATTTGAAACTTTCAGCCACACTTTAAAAATGATTTTTCACAAACTTTTATGCTGCTGTGCTGCAACTTCTTTACATTACATCCTGTAGAAGCTGCAAAAATAAAGTAAATTCTAATTTTTTTTGCTCAAGCAAAAAAAATTTCTCTGGTTTAGTTTAACACATGACTAAAGTTGTGTCACAAATGTAAACTTAAGATTTAACTTGACGTAGAAGTGACCCTGTGGTGCAAAAAACAATATTCCAAAGTGCTACGTGCTGCTTTTTTGTCTGTATGTTGTGCGCTGTCAGCACTGCAAACACAATATATACAAATGAATTGTTAAAAACAAGACTATGGAGTTTTTATTTCATTTTCTTCTGTGAACACAGAAAAAAGCAGAAAGACGGTAAAGTTACCATGGTGACATGAGCAAGAAGGACACGTTTTGTTCAAGTCTGTGCGTGTGTGCACAACAGGCACGTGAAAATGTTCCTGACCCTGAATCTCACCTCAAACTTCTGTCGGAGCTCCAGATTGACGTCGTCCACCTCGGGGATGGGAACGTTGTAGTACTCGCCCTCCTCCTGGTTCAGTAACTTGTACCTGAAAAAGCAGAAAAAAACAGTCAATTAGAAAAATGTTTTTTACTTATTTACTTTGACTTCATCGTCTTTCTGTCCACCCAGCTACGTTATGCACAATATCCTCCTGGGGTCAATCAAACCTAATGGAGGTGTAACAGTATGTATGCTTTATTTCACTTATTTTAAACACATAAAGATGATCCTCTCAGATGCAGACAGAAAAACAAACCTCTTGTTTTGTGGAGGATCTAAAGAAGCAAGCCATGCATGATAAGATAAATAAAAACTGAAAAACAATTTGAACTAAATGGCGTCCGGAAGCCCTACAGCCAATAAAAAGAATTCATTTGGCCTAGATTTGATGCATAAAGGCCACACAGAACTAAACAATATGGTGTTTATTAAAAGTCAGAGGGTTTTTTGAAAACTAAAATTTTAACCCTTTGACTTTTTATATCTCCAACTCTCAGTTTTTGACAGTTGATCACAGGAAAACAGCTGTCTTCTGTTGGCTACCCTGCACCTCTGATCAATAACAATTAATTTTGTGTACAATTGTTTAGACTTTCTTTCTTCTGAGTTTATTGCCCATGTGTTATATTTTATATACAGTAGTCCCTCGCTACTTTGGGGTTTGACTTTTGTGGACTTGCTCTTTTGAGGTTTTTCAAAGTACGATTGCACACGACAAAAAAAAATAAATAAATAAATAAATAAATAAAAAGATTGTACACGACACACGATTGTCAACTCTAATATTACTCATGTGATTGGGACAGTGGGATACAGTAAGAAGTTAACAAAAAAAAAATACTTCCAACAGGTGCCGCCATTTTGTAGTTTTCTCTCAATAGGTCTACACTGTATCACCACACAAAAGGACAACATTACCCAGAAGCCAAAGTTGCTTTCTGCTGAAATGGAGGGAAAGTTTTGATTCGATCTGAAAAAGTTCAGTCCTTATTCATAGTGACTTCGGCGCTCAGTGGTTGCAGAGAGCTGTACGGAACCGACTGAGAATTGGACCAGAACTACTTCCAGCCTCATCGGTCAATCTGAGAGCTGCTTGCTGGCCTATGAGGCCTCTCGAGCGGGGAGGCGTTGCTTGGAGGTCCGGTGTTTTCTCCGGAGCTCACCGGGACTTTTTTCACCCGGATTTGGACTTGATCTGGACCATTGTGTGGTTTTGTGTTGGTTCTCCGAAGGTCGGGCTCGCTCTAAAAGCGTCTTGGTGCTCAACGGCTGCAGAGAGTCGACCAGAACCGGACCATGGCTGGTGAGTACGGGTTTCTAAAGCCTTAGAATTTTAAAGCATTACACTCAACTTGAGTGAATAAACATTATCAAGTTATCTTGCGGGCAGCACGGTGGCGCAACTGGTAGAGCTGCTGCCTCTCAGCGAGCAGGTCCTTGGTTCAAACCCCGGTCCGGGGGCCTTTCTGGGTGGAGTTTGCATGTTCTCTCCGTGCATGCGTGGGTTTTCTCCGGGTACTCCGGTTTCCTCCCACAGACCAAAAACATGCATGTTAGGCTGATTGGTAACTCTAAATTGCCCCTAGGTGAGAGTGAATGGTTGTTTGTCTCGTTTGTCTCTATGTGGCCCTGTGATGGACTTGCAACCCGTCCAGGGTGTACCCCGCCCCTCGCACAGTGATTGCTGGACATGGGCACCAGCGACCCCCGTGACCCAAAATGGAATAAGCGGGTAAAGAAAATGGATGGATGGATGGAAGTTATCTTGCTTAATAAACTGTTGCTAAATAAACTTTTGCTTTAGTTTAATTGATTTAAATTCATTAGTTGACTGAACTGTTTTGGTTTGTGGTTTTAACTCAAATCTATGTCAATTTAACTTAACTGTTAAATAAAACAAAAAATAAATATAGCATTTCTACTTCACGGTTTTTCACTTATTGCGGTGTGTGTGGGGGTAACGCCCGGGATAAACGAGGGACTACTGTATTTCAAATACACTTGTAGTGTCAGTGCCATGAGAGTGAGAATTTAGCCCATTAAATAATCGACCATCCACAGTGGGGAGCTTTGATGAGCTCCGACACGCCGAACGACATGGAGCCCATGAAGTCATTCCGAGTGGTTCTGTCCCAGTCCCACACCTCAATGGACAAACGTCGGTCCTTATCGGATGCTTTCAGCTTACTGCACAAACACAAACAGAAAAAAAAGTGCCGTCACAAATCAAAGTTCTCTTCAAACTCTTCTCATTGACATCACAGTGGGCAGGTTTTTCACTCACAAGGTGAAAGACTCGTTCCAGCAGGGATTGAGAGAGGAACGGATGGTTCTGGTCTTCTGTTTGGTCTCGTTCTTTGGGTCTGGGATGAGCTTGAGTTTAACATACGGGTCTGATAAACCGTTTGGATCCATAGGTATCAGGTTCCTGGCTTCCCCCACTGGGAGACAAAAAAGAACAGAAAACATTTTGAGCAGAACTCAGAAACACCTGAACTCTGTTAGTAATCAGCACACCTGCTGTCTCACAGCAGCCCCCCTCCCAGTATTTATGCCAGATTATCCTGTTCGTTCACATTAGTCTTGTCATGTCACTATTTTTGGATGTTTGCCCAACTAATAAAACTAGTTTTAATTATCCTTCATCACATCTGCGTTCAGTTCCTTCAACGACCTAAATGTGAGAGTCACGAGTTGGGCAAAGGTATGATTAAATGTATCACTTTAGATTGAATTAATTAAGGCAGGCACCACATATGCTGATCACAGGAGCTGTGAAGCAAAGCATACTGTCAACATTCACTTAAGCTGAAGCGTGAAAGCGCACCAGCAGCTCTGTAATACTGGTGGGTGTTGGGGCACACGCACACCAAGAAAAACAAACCTGATCTCATCAGAAAGTCTATCACTTATTCTGTTCGAGGAAATAAAATCAAAATGACAAACTTACACTCGGTTTGGAATGGAAACGTGAAACTGTTTTGTGGACTAGTTGTGAGCAGAAGTTGAGAAAGATGAGCAGATAATGTGAGGTAACATTTTCCTGTGTGACTACTGACAAAGAAAGAAAAAAGGAGCACAAACACACAGCGAGAGGAGAAACCATGAGGCACTGTGGCCACCACCTTCATCGTGGTGGCATTTACATAAACAACACTGAGCTACATCAGAAACACAAACCAGGAAGAGCAGCTCACAACACAGATGTTAATGGAACTTTAACCATATAAGAAATCGTTTGTTGCCTGTAAATCCAACAAAAACATGCAGACCAAGACCTGTTCACTCTGCTCACATAAGACTGTGCAGCTACCCATCCAGGCTGTCATGTTGTAAAGTTTGCAGATGATACATTGGTGGTGGGATGCATCACAAACAATGAATGAGTCCAGCTATAGTCGAGGTGGAACACCTGGAGAGCTGGTGCAGGAAGAACAACCTTCACATCAATGTGAAGAAGATGAAGGAGATGGTCATGGACTTCAGCTGGAGTAAGCTCACCCCCACCCCAAAAATATAGGAGGATCTGCAGTGGAAGTGGTCTCCAGCTACAAGTACTTGGGGGTGCACCTGAATGACAACCTCAGCTGGGGCAACAACACCACCAGCCTGATCAAGAAAGCTCATCAGAGACTGTACTTCCTCATGTGGCTGAGACGAGCTGGACTGGGAAACTCAGTCCTCACCTCCTTCTACAGGTGTGCAGTGGAGAGCATCCTGTGCTCCAGCATCAACGTGTGGCATGAAGGCTGCACAGAAGACTGTTGGAGTCAGTCTCCCCACCATCACAGATATCTACACCTCCAGATGCAGGAAGAGGGCCACCTGCATCATGAAGGACCCCACTCACCCAGCACACACACTTTTTGCCCCGCTCTCCTTGGGCAGAAGGTTGAGGAGCATTAAGTGTAGAACCACTAGACTGAGGAACAGCTTCTACCCTGAGGCTGTTAGACTCATGAATCCCTAACCATGCTAATCATTGTGAAAAAAAAATAAATCACTGTAATGCCACTTTAATTGGTGATATGTGACTTATCTGTGCTGCTGATTATACATGCTGCTGATCTCATGCTGCTGTATTCATTCATACCCATCTGCTCACCACAGACTCATGTTCGTGCTGCTGTTGTTACGTCGTATCATTTTACAATATTAGTGTTTAGTGTATATCATTGATCCTTATATACTGTTTCTTTTTATACTTTTTAAATTTTTTATTTTAGATATTTTTGGATGTAACTGGGACACAATTTCATTCCACCTCATGTGCCACATGTGATGCAAATGACACTAAAATTGACTTGAACTTGAAAAGGTAAGCCTCAAGCTCAGAGTCGCTTTGCAAAGCTTCAAGTCAAATCTTGAACTGTGAGCAGCAGAAGATGCTCACACGTGTGTTTTTAGGATCCCAAGTAGTTTTTGTTGATCTGACACGTTAAAACAACTCTTTACTTTCAGATTTAAAAAGAAAATTTTGAGCAAAAATTAAAACGAAGCCTATAGAAGATTGACCGTGCACGCTTTGCATCCTGTGGGCATCGAAGAGAAAACTGTTAGTCTTATAGCAGAGAGAGACCATGGGTGGATGGACACATTAATTCATTTGTTTTGATGTTTATTGTGTAAATAAGAAGACTTATGGGGTCAAAAGGTTTGGTTTACAAAGGCTTCGAACATTTTAGACATTTCAAAAGTGAATGTGTGTTTAATCAGCTATATAAAATACCAAACTTATTTTTCACTGAAATGAAGATACAATTGTTGTACGTTAATTAAACCTCTATCAAAGCTCCATAAAGAACCAGATTGTTGCAGTTAGTGTGAAAAGTTTGAAGGAAAATGAGCAGCAGAGGGCAGTGCAGGTCTCCTGTATCAGTCAGCAGCTCCCCCATATTTATGAATGTGATGCTCTAATGTCATATTTCACTCCTTGTCCCGAGCTAATTCACAACCACAGCCATGACCTTCTTCGTCTTTCTGTCTCTCACTCTCCCAACAAGCCAACACACACACACACACACGTAATGAAGAGCAAAGAGCAGAAGGAAAATCTCAGCATCCCACGTCCTCTGAAGCCTCCCCTGTGCTGGCGGTGGTGGCGCTCACAGGCATCAGTCACTTCCATGGCAACGACGGCAGCAAACAATGCCAAAGAAACTTCAACTTCAGACAAATACAAGCACTTGAAGATGGATACTACAGTTTTTGGACTCTGACAGGGTGTGTGTGCATTCAGGTTGTA